TTTTTTTTTTTTAACAAGTCTACGGCGACTCTACGCTAAAGATACTGTTCAGTGTATACATAATATAGTCAATTGAGCAATCTTGAACCAGCTTCCCACACACAATGTAACCATCATTACAACACATGTTTGCATGATCTTGCTGCTCCTGGTCATCATGATCATGCAGATTCATGCTGATCTGTATTCAAATTATGCCCAAGAAGTTGTCCCCACAACCTGAGCCGCTTGACAGGCCTTACGCCACAAGATTACAATAAATCAGTCATCTGTGCCAGTGCTTCTTTCATTGAAATATGGCGATGATAATGATGATGATGATGACCGATATCAATTACATCATATGATACAATATCCTTTTTGTTTTTTTTTATAACCCCGTGCCGGTGTGCTAGAGGGGGTGATATGAGCATCCCCCTCTAGTAGCACTGCTGCGGGTAGCTCCGGTCTATTGGTGGGGAGAAGCATCTGCTGGAAACCGGGTCCAGTGTCCCATATACGTCCATGTGAATCCATCTAGGGGGCCCTCACCCAGCTTCATACAAAACCCTGTTATGAACTTATGACAAACGTGATATTTCATCAGGCATTCAATGTTTGAAGAAAGAGCAGCAGCAGCAGCAGCAGGAGGAGGAGGAGGAGGAGGAAGAGGAGGAAGAGGAGGAGGAGGAAGAAGAAGAAGAAGAAGAAGAAGAAGAAGAAGAAGAAGAAGAAGAAGAAGAAGAAGAAGTGCCAAGGCACACAGTAATCGTTATTGAAGAAAGAAAGATGAACCAGCAGGTTGTGTGGCACCCATGCGCGGGCACCGTGAACGAGTAACCTTTGGAACAGATACATAGGTCCCTTGCTTCTCCTACCTAACTAACCAACTGTGTATGGGAACAAAATATGTAGGTCCCTTTCTCCTAGAAGAGGTGGAAGGTCCTATGCCCTCATACTCGGATAGACCATTCTCAAATAATAATCCCAATGATGGGCATGTTGAAGTTGAGGGGTGGCATCACTCTTATGGCAGCATCAAAGGATGCATAATGGTAAGCCCAAGCAGCTTCAACATGACTCCACGCCACTCGTCTTGCAGATCGACGGCCCAGATTGACCACCAAGGGATCCAGTGCCTGGCTTGCGAACTGGCGCCTGCCACCAGACCCACAGGGCCTCTACTAACACATCCGCAACAGGATCCCCTTTCGCTTTCACCGCAGTGTGGCCGACAACCAAATGTGGCCCTCTCTGAGCTGATTGAACTGGCGGTTTGCATTTTATGCGGGTGACGGTCTGGATGGTAGAAAACGAGCAGGAAGAAGCCAAAACCCCACGTAACAAATGAATGTGGCCGAAGTCAAATGACTATCATCACTTGCTGTATGTTTCGAAATCGATCATCAAAAACAGATGCACTAGGCTTTACTTTCACAGAGAACACATCACTTGCTGTCAAAGGTCACACGCACGTGAGTATGAATGTCACACGAAGTGCAACCATCGCACTACCGTCTTCACCGGAATAGAACGCCCGGTCATTATAGCTGTATTTGGCACAACTTTCAGCCCAGATACTGCAATAATTACCAGGCGTTCTATTCGGGTGAAGACGGTAGTGTCGACTACGGAAGGCAGCTTCCACGGTGTTGCAAAAGTAATCAGGAAGAAACCCAAGCCCTGTCTAACAAACTAGTGCTGCTGAAGTCAAACGGAAGCTCGAACAAATTAGCATGGACTACACGAATATAATATTACATATTGATCAAAATTGGACTCGTTACTGTGGACTCAGTGTGGAGTAGTGTGGACCAGGCTCTAATATATATTGTATAGTGAGTTAAGCAACCAGTGACCCCGAACCTATCTTGTCAAACCTGCCTTTTGCTCAATTGTAGAACTGCCGAACCGCCGGCCTCAACGGCAAAAGCCCGAAAGCCCGATTCTTGTTTCGCAACAGGCTCGTGCTGCCCCCATTGCAACCCAATGGTTGAGGGTGGCAGCTGCAGTTCTTCTTGCAGCAGCCTTAGGCCTCCGACAGGCTGCTACCGGACCGCCCTGCGATCTCCTTCTATATCGACCCTGGGAAGGTCGTAGGGCTGTGGCGGTTCAACGTGAAAACATACAAGAAGAGAAGTAAATGAAAAGGTCACAGCTTCTGACTGCCGGTTCCACGTTGGTAGCCAACTTGCTCCCAGCAGAATGCTATGATGAAGAGTTGTCCATGGAGAAACTCGACGTTCTTAGGGATGCATCACCTCCCAGCGCGCGTCTCTCTCTGCTACTGCACCACCTCTATTAATGTCCATGGAGCCGCTGTCGCTATCTCTCTACTACTGCACCAACTCTATCAATGTCAACATCTATCTACATCACACTACATCCTTAATTCACCCCCTCTTCCCTATACCTGCAGAGCATGAGCGTGTGCCTGTAAGTTTCAAGCGGAGGCGAAACTTCCTAGTATTGCTCCTACGTACCATTAAACGTTTATAATGATGAAATGAAACATCTTCACGTAGTGTCGTGCTGCCTTTGTCGTCGAGGTTTCCTAAGGCTGAAGATTGATGGCGGCGATCACATATGTGCACATGGAATCATCATTCATGGATGGACAGCATCCAACCCAGCAAGGGCACACTGGCGAAGATGTTCTAGAGGAGAGAAGGTGAAGATAAATTTACACCAGAGAGCAGGGTTGCACAACCCAACGGTCGGCGGCCCTTGACTGGTCGGCTGCCCACCCGCCGACCGGTTGGCTGATCGGCACCTACCAGTCGGGGGTCGTCGGCACCCCGCAAAAAAGAAAAAAGAAAAAAAAAAGGGTCCAGAATCCCTGATAACACCACCAACACCCCCATAGCGGCCCCCAATACCCCCATAAACCCCCCCAACACCCCCAAACCACCCCCAACACCCTCATTACCCCACCCAATACCCTCTATACCACCCCTATACCCCCCCCCCCCCCCAAATCCCCAAAAGTTTCTCAGCAGTTTTGGACTGTACTCAGCAAGTGCAGTACAGCCCTTAACTCAGATTTGAAAAACAATCAGTGGATGGTTGTTTTCTGACTGGTCGGCAGACTGCCGACCGGTCGGGCCTACTGGTCGGCTGCAATACGGTCGGTGGTCGGGTTCGGTGGTCGGCAGGCATGCAACCCTGCCAGAGAGACAATTTGACAAAGAGAACGAGTTTGGGTACTCGAGTCTTGATGATATCCCCAGGTTGCAGTCAAGCCTTGGCCAGGGCAAGATCAGGTACGAATCAGCGACTGCGCCAAATCCTGTCCAAATGAAGAAGATGCCCTCTGACTCTGTAGCAGTGAATTGAGCACAGAAGAGCTGCCAATGATACGGTAAGAAATGACACAATGATCAAGGTACCAAAATCCTGCACCCACGACGAAGAACAACGCCAAATCGAATTCTGATTCATCAACAAGCTAGAATGTTAAGTAAATTCAGGGAGGGAAATCTATCTGCATGCAAACGAGAAGCAGAGGATGCTACCAACGGGCCTATCTCAGTTGGTACACCCCTGAACTGTTAAAATACAGATTCAAGTTCGAATCGAGATACCTTCAGATGAAGAGAGTAAAATCATTTTGAATTTCCTGGGGCCGGTCAGTTCAATGATGATATCAAAAGGCCGTCACCCTTTCAAAAAAAAAAAAAAGGACGCTGGAACTGGTTTCCCGGAGGTGCTGCTCCCCACCAATGGACCGGAGCCATTCGCGAGAACTCCTCGATCCTGGTGGTGCTCTTATCATCCCAGGACTGTAGGACATCACAGGATGTTTACAAAAAAATAAAAATAAAAGGTGGAGTAAATCATGTTCAAGACAGCTCTCTCTCTCTCTCTCTCTCTCTCTCTCTCTCTCTCTCTCTCTCTCTCTCTCTCTCTCTCTCTCTCTCTCTCTCTCTCTCTC